CAGGATTCTAGGATATGATTGTACACATCATTTTAAGCAAAGAAGTTTAGATAAACATGTTTAATAATTGTTCTATTCCGGTCATAAAAATATACAAAAATGAATGATATAATCTCTAAAAACTCACCTTTAAAAAAAGGTAAAAAAAGGCGACCAGTTAAGGGCACGCCATTAACAAAAATTATCCATTGCAAACCCATGTAGAATCCTATCCTATTGCAAACCCATGTAGAATCCTATGAAAAATTAATCATTGCAAACCCATGTAGAATCCTAGGCAAAATTAACCATTGCAAACCCATGTAGAATCGTACCCATTGCAAACCTATGTAGAATCCTATGAAAAATTAACCATTGCAAACTCATGTAGAATCCTATGAAAAATTAACCATTGCAAACCCATGTAGAATTGTATTAAAAATTATCCATTGCAAACTTATGTAGAATCCTACATTGCAAACCCATGTACAATAGAATTGTATGAAAAATTATCGATTATAAACCCATGTACAATCGTAACAAAAGTAATGAAATAAAAAAAAAATTGCGCCAAGTGAAAGTAGAAACTTGTACCAGTGGAAAATTAAAGTTGCAGACATATATAGAGTCGTATAATGAATCAGTAAAAATTTAAATTTGCAAATGTAGAATCGTACCATAAAAAAACTTATCTTTTAAAAAAAAGATAAACAAGATGCCAAGTCCATGCGCCATGTGAAAAAGAAATAAAAAAATTTTAGTTAAAAAAACTGGGAGCGCTGCTAAATAATATTCTAACAATATTAAAATTAAATTGTTACTTTTAAACTCATTACAGTTAAAATATGTTTTGTGTTTAAATTAATTAATGTTACTTTAAGGTGCATTGTAATTTTGAAACTTAGCAGCGCGCCCAGTTTTTTTAACTAAAATTTTTTTATTTCTTTTTCACATGGCGCATGGACTTGGCATCTTGTTTATCTTTTTTTTTAAAAGATAAGTTTTTTTATGGTACGATTCTACATTTGCAAATTTAAATTTTTACTGATTCATTATACGACTCTATATATGTCTGCAACTTTAATTTTCCACTGGTACAAGTTTCTACTTTCACTTGGCGCAATTTTTTTTTTATTTCATTACTTTTGTTACGATTGTACATGGGTTTATAATCGATAATTTTTCATACAATTCTATTGTACATGGGTTTGCAATGTAGGATTCTACATAAGTTTGCAATGGATAATTTTTAATACAATTCTACATGGGTTTGCAATGGTTAATTTTTCATAGGATTCTACATGAGTTTGCAATGGTTAATTTTTCATAGGATTCTACATAGGTTTGCAATGGGTACGATTCTACATGGGTTTGCAATGGTTAATTTTGCCTAGGATTCTACATGGGTTTGCAATGATTAATTTTTCATAGGATTCTACATGGGTTTGCAATAGGATAGGATTCTACATGGGTTTGCAATGGATAATTTTATAATTTACGTGGTTCTTGGCGAACATTTTAAAATGTTTACGTGCAAGAAGGTATGAATAGATAGATCTTTATTTAAAATTGTATTTATTAATTTGCAGGTCTTGTTTTTACACAATATTTTTTTTTTAAATTGTAAGTTCTTTTAATTTTGTTTAATTTATAATCTGTTTTCTATACATTTTATAATATTATATTTTTATTGCTTTTATTTATTTTAGTTATCATTATATTTATTTTTATGACAATTATATTATTTTATTATATTGTTAATTATCTCATATTTATTTTTAAATGTATTTTTATTTCAGATTACATAGTTTTAACCGAGATGGATCGCTAATGATGAAATAGGTCGCTATTTTGTAAATTTAAAAACACGCATTACAAACCAAATGAACTGTTGGCTAATTTGTTTCCGGATGATGCTGCTGTAAGAAAACGATATTTAAATGAAGAGGATAGTTAAAGAATTTAAAGTTTAATTTACTGAATGTTGCTTCAAGATGTTATAATAAATTTTGTTAAAAAGAATTACATGAAGCGTACAAAATATTAATTAAATATCTTCACAATATAGTATATTATATTATATATATGCACGTAACACATTTCATTATGTTCGCCAAGAATCACGTAATTTATGTGTCCTCTATTCAAACTATGCAATACATTATGATTTAACCGCAATACACAATTATAATCATAAAAGCCTCTGGAGATTAGATGTCCATCCTCACATCGGTGCCATGCGAGTATAACGCCGGTGCATTTATAACATCGTGAAGCAACATTCAGTAAAAATTAATTTAACTGAATGTTGCTTTTTTTCTTTAAACTCTGATTCTTTTGTGTCATTTCGTTATCCGAACACATCTCATTTTGATAATGCTTAATACTGCAATGTTTTTTTTATTTTTATATTGCCAACATTTGAACATGAGCTGCAATGAGTTGTCATAAATAAAATATTGGAATTATTATTATGTCGCGATATAATTTTAATTCATGGAATTATTATTAGGTATTAACAAAAATTTATTTCATAAGACAATTAATTATTAAAATTTTTATATTAAATCAAATATATTTTACATTATTAAAAAGTAAAACGTTTGTCGTAGTCGTTTGCATCGAGTAGCGTGCGCTGTGCATACGCGTTTCTTAAAAGTGATATTAATAATTAAACAATAATTGAGTTAATATAAAATTAATTTTTACTGAATGTTGCTTCAAGATGTTATAATTAATTTTGTTAAAAAAAATTACCTAAAGCGTACAAAATATTAATTGTGTAAATATTGATTATCTTCACAATATAGTATACTATAATTGATTATAACATTTTGAAGCAACATTCAGTTAATTAATCTTTAAATTCTTTAACTATTCTCTGCATTTAAATATCGTTTTTTGATATTTTAATGAGTTATAACTCATTAAAATATCAAAAAAAATAGATTTTTAATACAGAAATAAACAAACACGAAATAACATGCGTTGCATATATGTGTAAAAGGAGTGTAATATTCTATTTGTAATGTATGTAATATTCTATTTGTAATTAGTTAAAGATAAATAATACATTATATATACTTACCAATCTAATAAGAAAAATTTAATTTTATTAAAATATTCTCAATTTATTAACATTGTAATTAATGGCATATCACTGCCACTTACTTTTTTTATAAATTACTAACAACTGAGTCTTTAATAAAACTCTTAATGTGAATCATATGTATAAATTTTAATAGCCAAGTAAGAATTTGACGTAGATGATAGTGTGTGTCAATTTCAAGATAGGATTAATTTCGTAGAAAGTATTTATATATAACATCGATTTATGAGTAACGAAAAGAGTTCAATAAAAATCTTGTTTTTATTTCATTTTCTAGTATTGTATCAAAAAAATTTATGTTTAGTGCGCAAATAATTAGTTTAAAGGAAACATACTTTTTCCTAAAATCTGACGTAGTATTATTCGCATCTGGCTATTAATGCTGTATTAATAATTCATTTAATTAATCAATAAGCTTCAAATACCAACTCATAAAAAGGACTAATAATAGTCAGGCGCTAATTTCTTTTAAATTCCTTATTTTTAATTACCATAAACATTTCATAGTTCAATCCGCTGAAGATGATCCTTTACGGATTCTAGTTTACTTGAAAATACTGTTCATTTTTCGAAATAATTATAGAAATTTCGAAACAAATTCGAAACTACTTGTAAGATACTTAAGAGAATCTTAAACAGTTGACCGAACTCCGACAGATGCCTTGAGAAGTCTTTTGTTTCTTTCTTTTTTTTCATTTTTGTAAAAAATGCATGTTAAGTCGATTTTCGCATGTATTGTTGCCGCTTTTCCGCGTTGCTGATTGGTTGTTTCGATTCTCATTGTGTGTTATATTCATATCTAACAGCTGTTATTGCAAAGGTTAATAGTTTGACAGTTGCTAAAAATAATATATATCAAATCAAAGCACATAAAATCATTGTCGCGCGGAGCGCGCGCTTGTGTTGTCTCGTATCGATAAAATGTGAGTTTAGATAAATTATAAATCTATTTAATGACTATACAAACTGATTTTACCTGAAATTAGAACGCTTCGCTCTTTGCTAATATTAATACATTAATTTGTACAGGACAAAAATTTATCAATCTATATAGTTTCATATTTTTTGATTACAAAATAAAAATTCACAATTCTGTTCAATGTGGAATGTATTATGTCTTTATGAAGTTTAATAAATCTGTTTAATTTATTAATGCATTTGTATGGAGCGAATTTACAAACAGTTGATTTGAGCGCATTTCAACGTGTGATAAAAGCTCCTTCACATACGGTAAACCAATTTATATATTTTTTGGTTGTTGATTCTTTTGTGTCATTTTGTTATCCGAACACATCTCATTTTGATAATGCTTAATACTGCAATGTTTTTTTTATTTTTATATTGCCAACATTTAAATATGAGCTGCAATAAGTTGTCATAAATAAAATATTGGAATTATTATTATGTCGCGATATAATTTTAATTCATGGAATTATTATTAGATGTTAACAAAAATTTATTTCATTAATATTTTATAAGACAATTAATTATTAAAATTTTTATATTGAATCAAATATATTTTACATTATTAAAAAGTAAAACGTTTGTCGTAGTCGTTTGCATCGAGTAGCGTGCGCTGTGCATACGCGTTTCTTAAAAGTGATATTAATAATTAAACAATAATTGAGTTTAAAAAATTAACTTTTCAAACGACCGTACAAACGGCCCAAGAACAATTCGATTTCACAATAATGTCCATTCGAAAATCAATTTTTAACTGTCACATTTTTTTTTTTTTTAAATCTAAGTACTTCCAAATATTTTTGTGTTAAAATTAAAATAAATATAAGGAAACATTTGAAGTCATGAGTCTAAGGCTCGGATTTTGACGCGATTTCTCTGGTCGTGCACGAAGCTTCGCGAGATACCGAAATTTCTCGAGGAGACCCGATCTTTAATTCGGATACGATCGACATGCGTCGGGTCTCGGGATATATCATGCTTTTAGGTTTATATTTCATTACATGTTTCAAAACGAAATCAGTCACGATTGAGACACGCAAGCATATAAGAAATGTAAACATTGTCTTGTGCGCGACAACGAACGTTTCAAATTCTTATTTCCAGTGGCCTTTATTTATCGTGCCTAAATTTTAAAGATTTATGATAGTTAATAATATGTACAGCCATACGTGCGATGTTGCAGAAAAAGTTCAACGCGTTTATCTATTAATTAATAAAAAATCAAACAAGCGCATATCACGAGAAAGTAAGTATGTTGGTTTAAGTACTTACTTTGTACACATGTGTTTTGTAATATTTAACCGACCATACATTTTTGTCACATATAACTGCGATACATTCCGCACTTCTCACACATACAGAATAAAGACAACAAAACCTTCCTCGCGTTACGAAAACATTTTTCATATATTAATCCTAATAAATGGGGTCAGTAAGAGCTACTCAAATTTAATTATCAACTTTCTATATTTTTATACACATGAATGAATAACAGTTGATTATATTTAAAATTTTTGCACGGTGCAGAATCGTCTTTTCCGAGAAATACGGACGACGTATGGCATCGGCGACGTATGGAAAAAATGTTATTGTGGCCGGTCTAAATATTCGTATCAATCTCGAATTCTTCCAAATATCTGTGTCAGAATATATGTGACAAAAGTAAATAACATATCAAAAGAAACTGATTAGATTTAATCAAATTTGAGAGAGATCAATAATAATATTATATCAATATTTTATTATTACTAATATTTTACTTTAAATTTTTCTCGTATTTATCTAAAGAAAAATACATGAAATTTTGAAAGCTTTTTTTAATACATATTTCTCAATTTCAATCAAATCGAATTCATTTTCTTTGATACGTATTATGCAACGCATAGTTTTGCACAATTTCCTAACATGATTCAGTATAAGTATATCATGTCCATTTAATGATGAACAATGTAGATTAAATAAATTTAATTTTATAATTTTCTTCTTAAACTTCGCGGAAAAATTATAATTCAAAACTGTTTGATTTTTCACTCACAAATTGTGATAAATAATATAAATATAAACTAAATATATATATATATATATATATATATATAATAATAGAATAGAATATAAATTACAAAGTTTCCTATTCATCAGATAATTAATAGTTCGAGAAAGTCTTCTTTATATACTATATAGTTTATTACAGTGTATAATTCCGACGTAACATCTTTTATATTTTTAAGTTTAAAAAGATGCTATGAATTTAAGAAACACTAATATTCTTTGATATTTTATAGAAGAAAAATGTTCGATAATTTCTCACCTTTGATTTTATAATTTATAATACTACATCATTATTAAGAGAGCGCGAATTTTAAGCTACAAAATATATATAATATAGTAATATATATTATATAGAATAATACCTTTTAATCTTCTCAGCTAACAGACAAAATATTATAATATTTTGTGATTCTTATAAGAATCACAAAAAGAAATTTAATAGCTGTTAGTTACAAATTACATAATTTTCTCCAAAAACATCTATGCATTTCCCAGCGAGAAATGATAGTCGAATCGACGTCGGATCGTCAAATTGATTTCTATAATTTATAAGTTACGCAAATTTGGACAAAATAAATTGGATTTTACCAAATTTGAGAGAAATTAATAATATTATTACTAATATATTAAAAATATTATAAATATCCCTCATCGTATTATTCTATAAAAAGATATATGAAGTGTTGAGAGCCTTTTTTTAATACATATATCTCAAATTCAATCAAATCCAAACATTTTCTTCGATACGTGTTACGCAACGCTCTTTTTTGCATAATATTTTTACAGCATTTAGAGTCAGTATAGTTTTGTTAAATGAACACGTGAAAAATTTATAACAATATTATTAATAATTAAAACGATATATTAAATTCGACCCAAACTAGCCAAAAAAAAACTTTTTATTTTATTTCCACATTGTGGACTAACTATCCAAGAATAACTTTTTATTTTATTTCCACATTGTGATTAAATTCGACTAAAACTAGTCAAAAAAAATCTTTTTATTTTATTTCCACAATGTGAAAATAAAATAAAAAATTTTTCTTGGCTAGTTTCAGTCGAATTTAATATATCGTTCCTATTTTAAATATCACTAGCGACGTTTTAGATATTCAATATAATATTATTAATATTATGATTATAGATTTTCCTCGTGTTTATATAAAAAACGATATATTTATACTGAATTCTGTAAGAAAATTATGGAAAAATTTGCGTTACGGAACACGTGTCGAGCAGAATGGATTGGATTTGATCGGATTTCAGAGAGATTTGTATTAAAAAAATAGTGTTCAACATTTCGTATATCTTTCTTTTAAATTAACACGAGAAAAATCTATAATAATATTAGTAATAATATTATTAATATTATTACTAGTCTTTCTCAAATTTGATAAAATCCCATTAATTTTGCCCAAATTTGCGTACTCAACCGAATAAGAATATTCCAACTTATAGAATTTTTTCTCGAAATGTTATAAATCTCAAATAAAAAACGCAGAAATAAAGGTTTTAATAGTTGCATCGAATACTCATCAAGATAAGGAAGAACGAGCGCAAGAAATGACAAATTTGCAATCTGGACTTTACAATTTCATATATTTCATAAATAGATTACACAATATAACAAAAGATATATATGATAAACTTAATGGTATTATTAATATCGTTAACGACAAATGTCCCAGTATCGATCAAGCTTACAATGAATACAGGTTTTTTTTTAATTTTTGGTTAACAGTGATATTATTTTAGCACATATTATATTTTTAGCCTTGCTACGTTGACAAGATTTTCTGTATTACATAATTATCTGCTGGAAACTGAACAGTTTTATAATTAATATGTTTCGTGTTTTGAATCATCCTGTATATATTATTCGAAGCATATCTTGAGGATATCTGTTTATGTAAAAAAACTCAGCTGGCGGAATTACTTCTATTTAATAATTTTTTCATTGTTGAGCATTTAGAAACAATAGTTCACTACTTTTCATTTTTTTAAATTTTTCTTTAAGATAATAACGCTATATAATTTATGAACCCAAATTATGAAACACATTGTGTCTTACAATTAATGATATACAGGGTGTCCGGTGACTCGCGTTGTACACGTTAATGAGAGATTTTTGAGGTGATTAGAACACGATATATTTTCAGCAAAAATGTCCAGGCACTAATAATTTTTGAGTTATAAACGATTGAAAATAAAAGCTTTTTGTAAATCTTGTAATAACAAATTATTAACAAAACTACATCTTTTACTTAATTTTAAGTAAAATTTAATAGAATTTTGTGCAACACGGCGCGCGAAAAGTCGCTCTTTACGCACATGATGGGATTTTAGAAAGGATTCTCTTTCCACGCATCGGTCACACATAATATCGTAGCCAACATGTGCGGGTCATAAATCGGCCGATCGTGCGTATTGTCACACTTGGCTTCGCCTCGTGCGCCAAACTTTCGCACTCTCGGCAGATTTACGATCCCCCGCACTTGTTAATTAATATACTGATATACTATATTTATATTATTGTGTACAGCCAAAAGGACAAACTTGTTTATTATTGGCTGGATTATAATAAAATGTTTTTATTTTAAAATTTGTAACAACATATTTACATTCCGTTATTCTGTAACTTTTTCTGTACTAATAAAATACATGCGCTTGTGTGTCTTCAATCCACGCAGCATATAAGAACCGTATTGCATTTAAGTGATATGCTTTTATAGCTGAAAATTAATTATGCAAATAGTTAGTTGAGATTATTTTATTGTTTAAATTATTCTAATTTATATTATTTTCTTTGTTTTTTTAGTTTTTCTTTTGCAATGGATACAAAATCGGATAATTGGTTAAATTGTTTACCAGACCTTGTAATAGAGAACATTCTCGACCGCGTTGATATCAGCATTTACGATATTTGTGGCGTCCGATTATGGAGGAAGAAATTTTATCCAGCTTTCGAGTCCAGCTTGGGAAAGAATAATTCTGCGCAGGTAATATTTTGTGCGTAAATATTTTATAATAATCACATAATCTAGTATTTATGCAAAAACGATATATTATACTAAAAATAAATAAATAAAAAGTACAAAATATATAACGTAATTAAACAAATAGAAATAACATCTAAAATCATGATAATCACTAATAATAATGGATAAAAATTATTCAAAAACGAAATAATGACAGACAAGACGCAGAAAAGTGCAAGGGTATCTTTAAAATATTTCTTTCATTTATTCAATTTGTCAATTATTCAATTCTTTTTGAATAATTGAAAAAACAAAATTGAATAAAATGTTTTATTTTAAATAATTAAAATAAAAGAAGTTGATTATTGTTAAAAATTGTATAAATCAAACTGCTTGCACTCTTTCTAGGTAACACTAAAATCAAAACAAGTTTAAAATTGGGACATACATAAGATTTCTTTAAAATATTTCTAATGTGCCTTTCAAATATCATATCATAAGTCATTTTCAAGCAGTCAAAAAAACTTTATAAAAATGTCTTATATGTCTTAAATTTGAACATGACATATTATCAAAGTTTATTCCACACCTTCGAATTGATTAGTTTTTTTTATCTATTTTTATGTTATAAAAAAAAATAATATATTATAAATTATTAGTAAATTTTAATTTTTATTTAATTAATATAATTTTTTTAAATGTCTTTTTTAAAATTTATATTATTAATTATTTTATTTTTATTATAAATTAATTTATTAAACAAAACTATTTTAGTCATATATACAAAATGTGATAGTTAAAATTAATTCTAACAGTTGCATAATATATACGATAACGATGTAACTATGAATTCATATACGTATAATCATGTTAATATATGATGTTATATATATGAAACATATATATTTATATATATATAAAGAAATACTTATTTATTATATATATATATATATATATATATATATAATTTATATAATTATATATAAAAAGCATTTTTGTTTAATTATGTATGGACATATATAATTTTGCGATTATATGTATAATTTTATATATTTCTATATATAATTTTATATTGTTATATAAAAAAAATTTTTACCGGGATGCAAAATGCTTTTTAAACATCCATTTAAAATAGGAAATAGAAAATAGACATTTGAAAAATTATTTTTTGAAATAAAAATAGTTGTTCCACATATATATTTAAATTTTTATTTTATTTACGTTTTATAATTATATCTTATTTTTCAAATTCTTATTTCTTTATTAAGTTTTTGTAAACTTCTTTATAAGATTTCTTTATAAATTTTTTTTTATAAACTCTTTAAACTTTTATAAACTTTATATATTTGTATAATGTTAAAAACATTTTTTAATACAAAAAACAAGAATTTACATAAGTATTTTGTATATATATATATATATATGGAATTACAAAAATAATGTTTATTATTGTCTACAAACATTTACTTATATAATGACTTCTTTAATATATATATATAATATATATATATATATATATATATATATATATATTACTATTTTTATTTATATATATTGTTATAATTATTTATATACATACATTATATAGAATATATTATAAAATATAAATAAATTAAAAATATTATTATCAGTTTTATTGTCCTGTTATATATAATTATACAGGTTAATTTATCTTAATTACAGGTCAACATTCGTGAATCTGTCGGATCTTTCAACCCATGTATCATCTTTAATATCATAATAAAGATTGTTTCTGAATTGAAACAGTGAGAAAGTTAATAAGTGTTTCCATCTTATAAATCAGGTAAAAAAAGTAAAAATTATTATGTATATATAATAATACATATCCTTAATATATCGTATTCCTGACTCGATTCTAAGACAATTTTACAAAAATTTGCTAAAATTTATATAAATTGTATGCAATATACAAGATGTGTTTACAGTTTTACAGTATTAAAACCTCTCAAAATGGACTGCAATAATAATTTGTTGAATGCAAATCAATCCATTTCACAACAACGGGATCCAGGAGGCCAGCGAGGGATGCAAAGCTCTTGGACTCAAAATAAGACCAATCAAAACCAGCAATCAAAACTGTAAGTCAATTAAACATTTCTACATTCTATTTATTTTAGTATTACAATGCGAATTGTTTTTATTAGTTTGATTAATTTGATTTTTTTTTATTGGTTTGATTATTTTTGATTTATTTATTATTTTGATTCATTTATTTACCCTAGAACAACTGAAAAAGCTGGCAAGAGCGAGGAAAATCAAACTAGAGTCTACATATCAAGCAAAATCTGAATGTAAATATAAATTAATAAGTATATTTATTACATATATATATATATATATATATATATATATACTTATAATATAATATTATATATATTTATTATTATGCACTATACACATATTTTATTGCAATCGATAAGAAAGTTAAATGCCGCTCATGAAAAAAATTGTAAATAAATAAATAAATAATATAGGAGTTTTTACATATATGCCGTTATGATTGAAATGAGACGTAATAACTATTGTATTTATTTATTTTCATTTTGCTTACGCATACAACAATTGCTTCAATAAACTAATCTATTTATTCTAAATTACAAAATTTGTACATTTGCTGTCACGTAGGTGTTCTAAGTGTTAAAGAAATATTAAAGAATTATTTTAATATTGACTTTATTATAGTAATTATTTCACGAGGACGAATAAAAGAGTGCTTAATAAATATTGATACCCTGTCAAAGTAATAAACTTTTTTTCAGTTGAAATTGACTCTAATAAATTATGATAATATATATCTCTATTCTGAATGATTTATGACAAACTTTCAATGAGTTATGATAAGCTTTCAATAAATATTATATGTACAATACTTTTATACGTGTCTAATATTTCAGTAATAATGTTTCAATAATAATGTTTCAGTAATAATAGTAGTAGAAGAATAGAGAATGAAAAAAATTATATCTTCAGTCACTTTTATCGCTTTATCATTGGTAAAAAATCTGTATTTTGATAAAGATAGTAGAAATAAATAAAGAATAAAGAAATAAAAATTGAGGGCAAGATATGATGAATATGGCAAATATGGAAAACATTCAAACAATGGGAGACAAGTCTTAGGTCCGAAGAAGAGGAGAAACTGGTGCATCAAATAAAAGACTTCCTTTCTAGAGGTATTCGTGCACTTCCGAAGCGTTGGAATACTTAAATTGCACTCCATGGAAACTACATAAAAAATGATGTAAGTATGTGAATTTTATATCTTCAATAAATAATAAATAAAATAAATTATAAATTAGAGATAAAAGTATTTAAAATTTTCAATTAATTATTCACTCTAGTATATCAATATCTATAAAAAAACATGCCTATTAAAAAAAGATAAAAAAGGGCACCAAGTTTACGTGTCATGTGTAAAAGTGTTATAGAAAAAATATAAAATATATGTTGTAAAATTAAAATATAATATTTCTAAAAAAAAGATATCAAAAAAGTTGTGCCAAATAAATAAAAATTTGTAAAAAAATTAAAAATTAAAAACTTATGCAAAAATTAAAAATTAATACAAAATAAAAAAAAAGAGAAAAAATTTTAAAAAAGTTGAAAAATTTGGCGTTGTTTCTTTTTAGGAATATATTAATTTTACAACATAAGTTTTATATTTTTTTCTATAACACTTTTTCACATGACACGTAAACATGGCGCTCTTTTTTTACTTTTTTTTAAAGATAAGTTTTCTTATAAATATCATTTTTTTTTCTAGTATACATTTATTATCATTTAAAATTAAATGATTAAGTTTTTATTATTATAAGTTTTGTTAGCGCGTTATAAGTGTTAGCACTAACCTTTTTTACCTCGTCAGATGGATGGATCTCGTTCAATTTATTATAATTTAGTCAGGATGTGTGTGAGGATATATATATGTATATTATGTTCCAGTAAATGTATTTATTTGCGATCCGATGTGTATATATGTATATACTGTAGAGTCGATACAGACGCCGGAGCTGCTGGTAACGCCGCCAGAATAAGTACTTTCTCAGATTTATGACTGTGTCAAAACTGTGTCAAAACTGTCTCGCTCGCTCAAATATCCTCACCTTTATACTCGCTTGTCTAAAATATTTCCACCCCAAAGTACCGGACCAATCGGAGTAATTTTACATAAAATTGTTCGGTGCTCGCGAAAACAATAATTCTTACGAACGAGAGAGATTAGGTTGACGGTCGCACAAATAAATAAAAATATAACGCATAATAAAACTAAACCGTCTAAGGACAAGTAAACGAAAATATAAATAAAATAGATTAACATCTCTCTCGCTTTCCTTTCCCTTATACATACGGCAATAAAGTTAAAATATATAAAAATGCTTACAGCTCGGCCATTCCTGACTCTTGACCGACCCGGTCAATCGTTATCCCCGTGATTCACGACAATTTATATCACAATCTCATATTCAAAATAAATATTACAAATAAAATAATGTCGTCACTTAATTACAAATATATGGACGCATATGATCTGGCGCAAAAATACCCGTATACGGTCGCTGCGTCAATTGGAATCCGTCTACATCGGCGATGACGTAACGGTCGCGATCTAACACCTTCTTCACAACGTACGGGCCTTTATATTTTGGAATTAGTTTTTTATTTATACCAGCTACAGTTTCTATGTTTCGAATTTCGACATAATCGCCGACGTTATATTTACGAGCCGCTCTTCTTCGCAAATTGTATCGCTCAGCGCTTTTTTGCTGCGTCTCATTTATCCTGTCGCTCGCTTTATCTCGGAGGGAATCCAAATTTCGTTCGATTTCGGCATCTTTTTCAAGTATGTCGCGGAGACAATCGTTTAACTTACCCCGCTGCCCCAAACCGAATAACAAGCGGGCAGGGGTTTCGCCGGTAGCTTGACAGATCGTATTATTAATAGCGAATTCCGCCTGATCGAGTACGCGATCCCATTTATCTGGTGTTTCGCTTAGTTTTGCCACCATTGGCGTTATTAGTCGATTGAATCGCTCGACTTGACCGTTCGCTCTCGGCGTACTCACGGCCGTTAACGTGTGTTCAATTGATTCACGCTCTACAAATTCCTTAAACACCTCGGACGTAAAACATGTCCCACGGTCCGATATCACTCGCTTCGGTCGACTGTATACGCGAAAATATTCGCTAAGATGTTTTAATACTTCCTCCGTTCCGGTGGTTCGGCAGGGGTAAAGTTTAATAAACTTCGTAAAGGCGTCTATCACGACGAACAAATGACGATAGCCCCTCCCGGTTTTTTCTAAAGGTCCCATATGATCAACATGTATGGTATCGAACGGTATCTTCTCCTTTGTCAAATTATGTAAAAATCCCTCTGCTTTCCCGCCGGGCGGAGAAAATTCTATACAACGCAGACAATTGTCAATATATTCCCGTACCTTCTCGCGCATTCGCGGAAACCAATAAATCTGCGCGATGTTTCCAATGACCTTGTCGATCCCCACACGACCGAGATCATCGTGGCACGTCCTAATCACATTAGACTCCATACTCCGCGGCACATAAAAAAGCAATTTTTTGTTACGGTTTTTACGATACACCAGTCCATCTCTTAATTCGTAATATTTCACGTCGCCTTTCTCGAGTCTCTTTTGTATTTCGCGAATTTCTTCGTCGCGATCCTGACACACGGATAGAGTTCTTTCGAACGTGCTACCCTCAAGTACAAGAATGCTATGGCATCGACTGAGTGCATCGACGTGTCCCATTCGTTTTCCCGGGCGATGGACGATTTCGTAATCGTAATTTTGTAAAAATAGCGCCCATCGTGAAATTCGCGGATTGATATCCTTTTTATTTAATGTCAGCCGAAAACTGTCGCAATCCGTGATTATTCGAAACTTTCGCCCCGCGAAATATATATGAAAACGTTTTAAGGCGTAAACAGCGGCGAGACACTCGAGCTCGAAACTGTGATATTTAGATTCCGTCGGCGTAGTCCGTTGGCTCCAAAACGAGATCGGACGCCACGAACCATCGCTTTGCTTTTGAAGCAATATACCGCCGAACCCGCTAGCACTCGCGTCACAATGCAGCTCAGTCTCCGCCTGCGGTAAATAAATCGCGAGTACCGGTCCATTCGACAAATGGCGTTTCAGTGTCTCGAAAGCCGCACTTTCAGAGGACTCATATTTAAATGTCGCGTTCTTTCTTATCAAGTCGTATAGTGGTTTCGCCAATAGGAAAAACCCAGGAATAAATCGGCGAAAATAACTCGCCAGCCCCAGAAAACGCTGCATGTTCTTTGCGCTACGCGGCACCGGATAGTCAACGACGGACGCAACATTCTCGTCGCTCGGCCGGATACCGTGTCTACTCACGCAGTAACCCAAGTATTTTATTTCCGTCCGGGCGAAGTGACACTTATTGAGTCGAAATCCTAATCGATTCTCACCTGCTACCTCGAACACTCTCGATAAGATTTCGATGTGCTCGTCTAGATCTTTCGTAGCGATCAGCAAATCATCTAAATAAATTAGAATCTTATTTTCGCGGATCAATGCCTCGAACACCATATGCACGAATCGCTGAAAAACTCGTGGAGCGTTCGCCAACCCGAATGGCATGCGCAGATACTCGAACTGCCCGAGAGGCGTAACGAATGACGTGTATTTCACGGACGATTCATGCATCCTGACATGATGGAATCCGTCCTTCATGTTCAAGATGGAAAAATACACCTTTCCCTGTAGACGATCGATGTTATCGTCTATCAGTTCCGTCGGAAAATTGTCACGTATCGTGATTTTATTCAATTCTCGATAATCCACGCACAAACGGCACCCTCCGTCCTTTTTCCGCACCAAGACTATAGGACTCGCATACGGAGAACTACTCGGTTGTATAATAGATCTTTTTAATAAATCGTCCAAAATTTCGCGTAGAAGTTCCTTATCCGCGAAGGACAATCGTCGCGGCCGCGAACTTATTGGTTGTTCGTTTTTTAGAGCAATTATCATTTTATAATCGGGCGCATTTCCCTCAATTCGCATCTTGTTAATATAATGCGCCTTGTACGCCCCGCAAATCCGCGCGGCCACCTCGCCGCCGACCGCCGGATTTATTTTCAATTCGTCGCACGGATCAATGGAATCGCCGCCGCAATCGACGTGCATTAAAGAGTTTATAGCGCTCTTCTCTTCGGTCCCCGCGATCTCAAACGTATCGCCAATCGTAACGTGAAGTCGCGGACAGTTTAAAAAATCCCTCCCCAGCAAGACATCGAAAGCCA